ACTGGCCGGTTACTTATTGGGGAACAGAATGGCAAGACTGCCTACATTCCAAATAAAAAAGTTTTTATATATATATATATATATATATATATATATATATATATATATATATATATATATATATATATATATATATATATATATATATATATATATATATATATATATATATATATATATATATATATATATATATATATATATATATATATATATATATATATATTGTATTATTATTGTATATTGCCCAGTCTTTCTGTGACATACACAATGTATAAAGTGTACTTGTTAGATTCCAAGTTAATTGTTATAAAAACAGTTCTAAAAAATATAAATTTTAACGTCATGGCTTTTTTTTATTTTTTTTGAAATTATGGTTTTTATAACTCTGTTCTGTAAATATGTATGTATATCGCAAGGATTTCTAGCGATTTCGGGTAATATTCAAAAAACAATTCCATGTTAATTGAAGGGATACATGCATTTAAATGCGCTTAAATTGACATTGATTGTCAAGTTTGACATACATAATTAAAAATAAATCTATTTTTTAGATCATTCCTTTGAAATTTTTTGGGGTGCTACAAATTTAATTTGTTTTTTTTTGTTGACAAAAAGAAAATTCAAACATAAAAAAGTTTGAGAGATATTTAAAATTTTCAATGTTAATTATTAATTATAGAGCCATGCTTCATCTTTCTTCTTTACATACATGTGATAAAAAAAATGTGATAAAATACCGTATGATCGAAAAAAAACGGCGTTACATTTTTGTTGTAATAAAGATCAACAACTATATTTTAAACAAGATTGCATTTTTAGCCAACCATACCAATATAGGTATGGTTTTAAGATCGGCAAAAAAAAAGTTTTTTTAATTTCACTCAAAATGAGTTATTTGCGTCATAAATGAGCTAAATACAAAATAGTTTCATGGTGACTGTCTGTCTGTCCGTCTGTAACACGATAACTCAATAGCCGCTAAACTTATTTTAACCAAATTTGGCACAAAAATACTGTGGCACCCGAGAATCTGGCCATTAGTTTTTGGTGGGGGTGGGGGTTTGGTAAGGGGGTATGGGAGGGGGTTAAACATTTTAAAAAATCGTAACTCCAAAATTACAGTAGCTAGCGAAACGCGGTTTGCAATTTAAGATTGGGAAATTTAAGATTAGGAATATTTGCAACAAAATTTGTAATGACATCAAAATCAGTCAAAGTCGCAGTTTTTGAGATAAAAAAAATTTGAAGAATTCCTTTACTTTGAAACTAAAAGAACTGCCTACCAACTTTTTATTAACATATTTTAGTATGGGCGGCTGTAGTACGTGCCTCCCGGCGCCAATTTTTTCTCATAAGAGGCGTTAGTTTTAGTTCTGTAAACTTTGACAGTGAATAGTACTGAATTAGGTAATACCACAGATTAGGTATACTATATGTATACAGATAAAAATCGTATCCCTAATAGTACGAGAGCTGGCAACGTCGGAAAAACAAGTATTTTAAGACGTCTGGCTCTTTGATACATCTTTTACTATGCTCTCTAGAACAGCATGCGGACCGTCTGGCTGCCGGTAAACGTTGCGTTCCCTACTGGGCATTGAAAGAAGATCCTATATTTTTATTAGTCCTTTGAATTCTAGTATTGAATATAAATCGAACATGTCTCCATAGCGCAGTGCGTAGAGTTTCGGACCACGAACCGAAGATTCAGAGTTCAAATCCGGGTCTGGTCAAAGATTTTTTTATTTTTATTTTTGTTTATATTCTGATTTGGTTTGGATTTGAACTCTGAATCTTCGGTTCGTGGTCGAATACTCTACGCACTGCGCAATGGAGACATGTTCGATTTGTATTCAATACTAGAATTTATAGGACTAAATTAATAAAAAAATATAGGATCTTCTTCCGATGCGCAGTAGTAAACGCAACGGATATGGGCAGCCAGACGGGCCGCATTCTGTTCCATGGAGCATAGTAAAAGATATATCAAAGAGCCAGACGTCTTAAAATACTTTCTCGAAAACGTTGCTAGCTCTTAGACTATAATTCGTAATACGAAAATTGTTTTTTATGACGATGTGCAAACGAATAAAATTTCCTGTGCGCAAAAATAAACTGGCGTAAAATAACAATAAACAGCGTAATAGAGAGATATCGCTAAACCGAATAGCGTGCATGGACGTTAATAAGGCCAGGTGTTATTTCCTTTACGTGAGGTGGTATTAACTCTCTTCATTTATAGTTATCGGATCGGAAAGAATTCTGCTCGCGTCGCGTCCGCTATTTAAACTTAACGTAACTTTGAATTTAAAACTTTCAAATTGTTTTGTTTACTAGGTATTTTAAAACTAAAGGGCTAACGTGCTTATTTCCAGTGCTTTATTGTTTAACGTCTGCCAGTGGGTTTAGGGCAACAAGCAACAAATTCTCTTAGAAGGGCTAAGTCGTCATCTGCTGTAAACCTAAGCCTCTTCATAGGTTCTTTAATATTGGAAGAGGTGAAATCCATATTTTGGGCCATATTTATTTAATTAAAACTAATCCCAGCTACTTAAATATCAAATTACCTAATAAAACTAAAGTAATAATTCAAAACAATTCAAACATAACCTAAAATAAAAGATCTAGCCGGCCGGCCCCGGTTGTCAAATACCCACACATGCCCATTTAAGCAATTTTTAAACGTTATTTAGAAATAGCGCTTGGTGTAATTGATCCGCAAATTACGTCAGGCGGTAACGTTATTAGCGGGTGTTGCGTTAAAACTTGACTCGCGCATATCGTAACCATGATAAGGTACGCGTAAATACTGCATGACGCTATTCGGTTTTCCGATATCTTTCTAATAACTGTACCGGTAATTTTAGAGGCCATAAGTGGGCGTGCTATGTGCGCAAACTAGTAACCTAACTAGTGCCCGATTCCGAAAATTGGAATCACGAAAAACAATAAAGAAAAAACAAAGTATATAATCTGTTTAATCTGTGTAATACTGAAAAGCGAAGTTAGAATATTATATGGTTATATTATAATGAAGAAAATATACTCAATACACAAAGCAGCGCCACAAAATTAATCTTAAGTCAAATAGATTAATTATTGTTAAAAATTAGCATTTTATACATATATTAGGTGTAAATAAATTTATTTTTATCTACTAATAATGTATTATTTTGTTATTCAGTTTAATCATTTTTTTTATATTTATTAAATAAAACAATGAAATATTCTTGATAAGCATATTTCCTAAGCAGAGCTGGAGAGAATTTTATTAAAAACAACCTTCATGCCAATATAAAGAAGTAATATAACATCGAATAAAATTTTTAAACCTGTTTCTGATAATTATATACCATCTTTATCATTAACGCTTATAAAAATCTATATTTACTACTTGCTCATATTTTTTCTGCAGTTTAATTTTAATTGTCTAATTTATTTTTTTGCTTTTTAATTTCTTAATAAGAACTTTAATTTTTGATCTGTGAAACCTGAACAGTCGGTTGTCACTGTCAACGAGTATATTGTGTTCTTTTGATGTATTTTGTTTATACCGAGTGTGTCTCAAAAGTGGCTCAACCCTATAATTTTTTTATTTTTTCAGATAAAAAGTGAGATTTGGTATGTTAGTATAAATTAGTAGTGATGGGAATAATCGAATTATTTTCACCATCGAATAATTAGTAATAATTCATATTTCACAATCGAATTATTTAGTAGAATTATAAATTTAATCTAAAAATAAATTCGTCCCAGCTAGTGCTCGTCTAGGGACTATTTTAAACAAATTCTGAACCATTACCATACCTATATTCTATCATTGAATAAAGAATAAAAAAATATATTCTTTATTCAATGTATTCTATTAACTGTGCCGAAGCCGTTTAATAAACCATAATTTAAAGTTTTAAATTTAAAAGTGCCGAGTTTATGATTGTTATTGTTATGGCCTTTTATAAACATTTCAATTCCTATTGAAAACCTCCTCTCTAAAATAAAAGCTTCTTCTAAAACGATATAAGTATGTCCTTGTTTACGTGCGGTTCGTATTTCTTTTAATTTTATCACTGGCAATCGATAATTATTTAGATAAAAGAAGAAAATTAATTTTAGTATTCGGCAGGTGTTCGGTAAAATTTGGGTGAGATGGAAATGAACCAAATAATAGTAGTATTCTTTCGTTCTGAACGAAATGAAAATTTTCACTTAAATTGATTTATTCCTACGTAGTATAGGAAATAACAATGATTCCTGGATTTTTCTATATCGGATCGTTCCACAGGATCGTTCCTTTCTTTGCCGATTCCCTTTATAAATCAGTTTAAGTGAAAATTTTCAATTCGTTCAGAACGAATGAATACTACTAAATAGTACTAATTACTAATATTCGTCCATAAGAGGTTATGTTTTATGTTCATTTGTAATTTGGTTACCACAGATATAATATAAAATACTACTAATTTTTATCTCGATTATATCGAAAAAGATAATCGAATTAGTTAGTTTTAATTTACTATCGAATTAGTCGAATTATTTAATTCGAATTTTCCCAACACTATAAATTAGGTTGATTGACATATTCAATTGTTTTTGGCATTTCCTGTTTCACCGGAAATGACAACTTTTGATTTTTAAAAGGCACCCTCGGTATTTTTTTTTTCTTTCTTTGATAGAAAATGTCACTTTGAATATGTCACTCTGAATGGCATATAACATGTCAACATTTGACATTTACGCTTTAAAAAAATTCGTATTTGAAATTTCAATCTAGAGTGCCATGGCTGTGTTAAAAACACCAATTTTTAATCATGGAGCCTTGGAAAAATAGATTTGATCGTCGAGTTTTTTTCATGTCTTGTCCTGGCCAGTTAAAAGATGCCCAAATCGTCATTCCCCAGCCGTCTTTGACGCCATTTTTTTAGATCATTACATTATTTCTATGTTTAATATCTTAAATTTTGCGTGGCACATTATTTATTGTAAAATTATATTTACAGGTCTATGGGGATTCTTTTACCTCCAGTTACACAAGTAACAACCGTAACTAGTACGCACATGACGTTACATCATCGTAATCGTTCGTTGGATTCTGCCTTGCAGAGGATACCGGAAGTTGATGTCACACCAAGTCCGGAATGTGAAAATGTCATTACTACGGCCCTGGTTGATGGAGTGAGACATCAGGTAAATAAAGGCATTCCAAAATACAAAGATAATTTTAAAATTCCATAGGATCTACCGAAAATGTCACTATAAATTCTTGATTTATCACACTGTCTATTTGTTTTATTATCTAAATATAGACGTTACCGGTTCTTATTTGCCTAGGTCATATCTATATAGAAGGTTCATGGATCGCAGTAATAACCGTATTTACTGATTCTATAACTTTTAATTATAATGATAAACTACAATAATCATTTTTACACAACCTGTGACACAAACATGATACAATAAAACACATTCCCGCCATAGATTATTCTCTCTATTACTACTAGTGGCGACATCTATATGAAAGTAGATGAACTAATACTAAATACAGCATTGCATATCAACAATATCCATCTTTTCGTAGTAAATTATGTGTTCAATAATAATTAATAATGTACTGCTATTCGAATAAATTAATTACATGAACGAAAACTATTGAACTTAGATTTAGCAACGAACTAACCTCCTAAATGTTGCTACACCATTATTAGATTATTAATAACAACAAAAAAGTATAATCAAAAAGTCTTATCATCATTCGTGATTTCTATACTGACACAATTCTTATGGGAAATTGCATTATAGTTTTTTTTGTCAAAGTGGAAGCTTTTTCTAATGCTTTTCTAATGCTAACTCCTACAGTACGCAGCAGTTCCTTTCGTTAAAGTAGAACTGACAATACCTTTAACATTAATTTTCCTAGTCGTATCGACAATTTCACAGTCATTTAAACTTTCAGTAAAAATACAACTAATACTAGCCCCGGTATCAATTAAAAGTTTTATCTTATTTAATCCATATAAAACAGAAATGTAATTTAGTGAATTTATATTAAAACTTATTGCATTAGTGGAATTATTATTTTTATTGTGAGGAACGAAAAAACTGCTGATCATTATTTACTTCGTCGCGACGCTCCTGTGTGTTATTTGAATCGTCTGCAAAATACGCTCGACGCGTTGGAAATCGTCCCCGACCTTGCTAACCACGATTATGGGTCATATTACCGCGATAATTATTAGTGTTATTTTTATTGTAATTTTGTCGGCTTTGATGAAAATTTGACCTATTAAAATTATTGTTATATCCATGATTAAATTTTCGCACCGGCCGCGGCCTGCCACGATTACCCTGGTAATATCCCCTATTATAATTTTGCTTATTTTTAATATGATAAACTGAAGAAGAACTAACGTTATTTGAACAGATTTCTTCCTTAGCCCCGACAATAGCATCATTTAAGGTTTGGTAATTTCGCGACTTAATAATTGTTCTTAATTCTGCGTTTCTAAGACCATTTGCAAATGTACTGATAGCGATTTTCTCATTTACTCCTCGTAAGACTGACAAAGCATCATACAGATGGATAAAGCTGATACAGATTTTTTAGCAAGTAAGAAAAGTTTCATGTCTTCAATTAAATCAACAACACTATTCTAATCTTTATTTAACCTGCACTTAGCGTTTTGGTTTAATTTGGCCTTTAAAATATATTTAACTAGCAAAGGTTTACTGGATTGATCTAAAAGTTCGCTATATAATTCGATGGCATCAATTAATTGTTTAGTAGCCTCCTCGGACCCATCCATAGAGGGTAACAAGGACGCTGCTGTGCGTAAATCAAAATTTTCACCCATATTTTCAATATTTTTATAACACTACTATTCTTAATATCTACACAATTTTTTATTCTACTAGTTAGGATTCCTTAACTACTTCTAAATCTGAACTACTCATAAAAATCTAAAATTAACTCTGTCGAATAAATATTAAAAAAAAATAAATCGAATAAACTAACATTACCTAGAACTAACTCCGTATGCCATTCCTAAACTAAACTAACTCTTGACTTTGGATTTTGATTCGGCTCTTCAATTTCGGATCTCATTTTCCTTTCCAACGCCTTCTTAACTTTTGGTTTGGTTTTGTTTGGGTTGGTGTATCCATATTTGAAAACTACATTGCTAACGCCACCACTGTTCTAACCAAACTTCTTCTTTGGATTGATTATTGCCCCATTCTTTTATACCATAGTCTTCCTAAAATATCCCCAAAGCATGCAATGGCAGGGTCGCCATGTAATGTTCTTATTTGGGTTCGCAATTACATGCTCTGAAGGAGACTCCAAGACTATATAAAAAACCAACTTTATTTCGAATAACTAGTACAATCTGTTCTCGTGTAAATCTTAATAGTAATTAGATTCGGTTAACCCTAATTAGCATATCGCGCGACATCCAATAAATGCATAGTTGCATTCCTAATATTATATAAACAACTAATTCTAAACATATAATATAAACTGACCTTAATTAGCTTAACTTAAGAAATACTTATATCTAAACTATTATGTACAGGGTGTAATAATATTTATACACTACAGTATTATTATTATCAATTACTTTTAACATAGATATTGATGAAGTATCCCGTGGCGCTCTTAAATCTTTAGGATTTCTCCTGAGATCCACAGAAGGTTTCAATAGTCCATTATGTCTAACGGCATTATACATGAGCCTTGTGAAATCAAAAATCAATTATGTAATACGGAGATTAGAAAATGTTCAGCGTAAATTCCTAAAATATATCTCGTTCAAACTGGATGGTGTTTTCCCAGAGCGTGGTTATAACCACTTACAGCTGTTGCAAAGGTTTGATCTTTTATCTATTGAGCAGAGACTCATTGACTTCACTCTTTATCTTTCCTTTATAAACTTTATAACGGTCATGCGGACTGCGCTTCGCTATTAGCTCGACTGAACTTTTCAGCTCCGCTCGTCCGTACTAGAAATCAAAACACGTTCTACCTGTCAAACGTCAGGACTTGTTTAGCTGGTAAGGCACCCCTCTACCGGTCCTGTACAGATTTCAATGATGTTGAGAGCCTGGCATCTGTTGATATATTTGGCGACTCGCTGCGTCAATTCAGGAATGTTTTGGTCCGGCAAATGAAGAATCCTAGCATTTTTTGATATTTTTTATTGTAGTTCGTTAGAATTAGAGTTTTACTTTCACTTTTAAATTTATACTAGGTGTTATTTTTTTTAAGATTACATATAGATTGTTATATTTTGCATTGTACTTTTATTGTCGATTTGTGCTTATGTTAGCTTCATTTATTATGAATGTTGTGAATTTTTTAGTGTACACAATTGTCTTTAATTTGGGATTTCCTGTTAGACAATAAACTATTATTTATACTGCCATTACTCGCTGACGAGTATTTGACACGCATCAGAACATGGTCACGCAAGGCGTTTTCTTTCCTCTTGAGCTTTTCTGTGACTGAAAAGCCCGATACGTGATGTTATCTGTCTACCGCACTCCGGACATTCAAAACTTTCATTGCTTTGTTGCTGAGTTTACAATTCTTCTCCATTCCGTTCCCTGCACTCATTCTGCATGTTAATCCCTTTTAAGTTTTGGAAAATATCCTTGTACCTTTTGAGTTGTCCACCCGGCCTCCTCTTACCGTCTACAAGCTCAGAGTAAAGCAGAGATTTTGTTATGCGGTTTTCTTGCATTCAAATAGTATTAAGAGCTTTATTGTAAAAGAACAAAGGTTACATTGACCAGAGTTTATATACGCCTAATATTGTTTTAACTCTAAAGCACATTTTAATACAAAGCCTATTATATGATTTTTGTTGTAATAGGTTGTTAAGAGCAATAAATATTACAAATTTTAAAATATTGGTAGTAAATATTTTTAAGGCCGTCCAATAAAATGTAAATATGTGATTTACAATAGAAATGCCTACTTTACCGGGTACGTACCGTTTACCAGGTAGAGACATTAGATTTTTAAGTGCTTAAATAATAAAATGATTTTTCTGTACCTACCCAATAACTTTTATGATATTTTGATGTTAACATAAACCGATAGGCAATAAAATTTAAATAGCTTTTTCTATAGGGCAACCTGTAAGTTTTTCAAATTATACAACAGAACCGTTTATTTTTGTCACATCAAATTTAATTTGTAGACGTCGTCGTTTGCAGGCATTAAATTTTAACTATTTTAAACATATTCTTTATTGGGTTGTGGTGTTAAAAGTACCTACTACATAAATGTTAAATTTTTATATCCAATATACATTATTAGTTTTTTCAATAAAGTTAAAAATTAAAAGTTTTTTCACATTTACTCGTTCAGTTAAATTATATAAGTTGTTTATTATATAAAAACATTCCTGTCTTAAAAATGGTTTTAAATGGTTTCTCTAGACTTGGGCTGATATGTGTCAAAAGTCCCCGGGGATAGATTGGGTTCAAGCATGGGGAGAGGTTAAATGCCATTTTATTTACGTTTTGGGTATATCTCGGATTTGACTTTTTACAGAAAAATAACTCGTATACTAATTAAAGTTCAGAAAATTCTACAAAACTGTATTTTTCTCAGAAGCCAAACCTTTTATAGGTTCAGGACTGACAAAAGTAACACCGTTTATTGAATTTGAAACGTAAGGTTGTCCACTTAGGACGCCAGCATTGGTAGGTTTTAGAGGTTGCCATAGTATTGAAATTTCCATGCTTGGAATGCTAACGTTATTGTTTAATATAAAAACGAATTCTCATTAAATTTACGCATTTTCTTATCAGATATTAAAAGACGCTTCACCAGGAATCTGAAAGAAGCCTGAAGCCAGTGACAAGTAGGTCTTAGTTTAGATTTTAACCCAGAGTAATTTTACAAAACCACTTTTTATTTTTTAGTTTTCTGTCTCAGTCATGACATGCCTCTTTCCAGAAATAGAACGAAAAAACTGAAATTATTTTTACAAATACGTCTATTTATCAATTATGTTCTAAAATAAATATTTGTGTAACTAGCGCAAAAACGATATATTTGTTGCACGACGCATGAATTTTCAATCATGCTGCGTGCAACAATAAGTATGCTCTGTGCACATGTTGCAAACAACATTTTTTCTACGTTGGAATTAAGATTGTTATTTAAATGTTTATTAAAA